TGTCCTGCGCCTGCACTCTGACAGGGGTGGTGAGTTCTCCTCAGACCTCTTGGCGGCCTTCTGTGCGGAGCACGGCATCCGCCAGACGTTCACGCTTCCGGCCTCTCTGCAGCAGAATGGGGTTGTTGAGCGTCGTATTGGCTTGGTCATGGAGGTCGCTTGTACCTCCATCATCCATGCGGCTGCCCCCCATTTTCTGTGGCCGTTTGCAGTCCGGTACGCCGCGCATCAGCTCAACCTCTGGCCCCGTGTCTCCATGCTGGAGACCTCGCCCACACTACTGTGGACGGGGAAGGTTGGCGATGCGTCGCGTTTCCGGGTCTAGGGTGCTCGTGCCTTTGTCCGCGATACCACCGCGGACAAACTCTCTGCTCGCGCCATTCCCTGCGTCTTCCTTGGCTTTGTCCCTGACGCGCCTGGCTGGCAGTTTTACGACCCTGCCTCGCGCCGTGTCTTTCCGTCTCAGGACATCACCTTTGACGAGTCCGTCCCCTTTTACCGTCTCTTTCCCTACAGCGCTGCCCCTCGCCCCCCCTCCCCCCCCCGCCGCTCTTTCTCGCCCCAGGTCCTCCCCAGGTAGACCCCCTCCCCGCGCCAGGTCCTGCTCCTTCAGGTGTTTCTCAGGTAGACCCTCCCGTGCCTGCGCCTGTTGAGGTCACTTGTGACTCGGGTCCTGCTGGGGGTGGTGCTGTCTTTGGGGGTGCTGGGCCTAGGGAGCTGCTGGGGCTGGAGGTACTGTGTCTGAGGGTGCAACTGCTGGAGACCCTGGGTCTGGGGGTTCTACTGCTGGAGGCACTGAGGCTGGAGACCCTGGGCCTGGAGGTGCCAGTTCTGGGGGTGTTGCAGCTGGTGGAGCTGCTGGAGCTGCTGGAGCTGCTGAGGGTTCTGGAGCTGCTGGAGGTGCTGGAACTGCTGAGGGTACTGGAGCTGCTGGTGCTGGTGGCACTGCACAGCCGCGCCTGTTCTTCGCTCCGCCGTCTCCGTCGTCTCAGCCACCACCTGACTCTGCGCTTCGCCAGGTTCTAAGTCTCCCTTCGTCTACTGGTCTTCCGTTACAGCCTGGCTCGCCGCTGCCTGCTCCTTCTCCTTACACTAAGCAGACAGGGGGCCTTGCTGAGCGTCGTGAGCCTGCGTCGCGTCCTGTCTCGCCTATCCGTTCTGGTCGTTCCGGTCGTCGTGTTCCTCGTCCGCGTCAGCCGGCTGTCCCCGGCACCCACCTTGTAGTCGGTCGTCCTTCCTCTCATCCGAAGCGTGTTCCTCTGCCTTCTCCTCCTACGTCCTCCCTGCCTACAGTTGCGGACCCTGAGTCTGACCAGTTTCGTACTGAGCACCCTACTGTCACGCGTCTGTTAGCCACTGTGGTCACTGACCCGTCGTTTGAGTCCACTGCTGCGTCTGCCCTAGTCGCTGAGCTTGTCGACTTTGCTGTTGCCTGTCGTCTAGACTACGCTGCTAGTCTTGTTGCTGAGTCTGAGTCTGAGTCTGTCTGTCCTCCGTCCGTCGGGGGTGAGTGTGCTCTAGCACGGACGTCCTTGAGGACAGGCACGAGGACTTTGAGTGTCTTGCGGCCGCTGCGCCTCATCTCGTGGCCATGCGGTTTGCCCCTGAGGGAGACCCGGATGCACCAGACATCCCGACCCCGCGCTCTGACGCTGAGGCGATCGCGGGTGAGTACTCTTCTCAGTGGCAGACAGCCATGGACGCAGAGATGGCATCCTGGAAGTCCACAGGCACCTACGTCGATAAGGTTCCCCCTCCCGGGGCGAACATCGTCAACGGCATGTGGATTTTCAGGGTGAAGCGGCCGCCAGGTTCTCCGCCTGTCTTCAAGGCTCGTTACGTTGCTCGTGGCTTCAGTCAGCGAGAGGGAGTTGACTTCTTCCAGACCTTCTCCCCCACCCCGAAGATGACCACTCTTCGGGTGCTGCTGCACGTTGCCGCTCAGCGTGACTACGAGCTTCACTCTCTTGACTTCAGCACAGCTTTCTTACAGGGCAGCCTGCACGAGAAGATCTGGCTGCGCCGCCCACCTGGCTTCACTGGGTCGTTCCCTCCTGGTACCCAGTGGAGCCTCCGGCGGCCGGTCTACGGTCTCCGCCAGGCGCCACGTGAGTGGTACGACACACTGAGGACGACACTTGCGGCTCTTGGGTTTGCTCCTTCGACTGCTGACCCGTCGCTGTTTCTGCGCACCGACACTTCGCTGCCGCCGTTCTACATCCTCGTATACATCGACGACTTGGTCTTTGCCACTGCTGACACTGAGGCTCTCGCCCTGGTGAAGTCGGAGCTGCAGAAGAGACACACGTGCACAGACCTGGGTTAGCTGCGCAGTTACCTTGGCTTGCAGATCACCCGGACGAGTCCCCAAAGCTAGTTGGCTGCCTCATGTATCTGATGACCTGCACTCGTCCTAACCTTGCGTACCCTCTTGGCCTTCTGGCTCGCTACGTGGCTCCTAGTCGGCACCGAAAGGTGCACGTGGATGCTGCTAAGAGGGTACTGCGCTACTTGTGCAGTACATCAGGCATGGGGCTCGTGCTTGGAGGACAGGGCGACGTTGTCCTCACTGGTCACTCGGACGCTTCTTGGGTTGACGACCAGGCTACGGAGCGGTCGTCACAGGATTACACCTTCAGTCTTGGCTCTGGCTCTGTTTCTTGGCGTTCTACTCGCTCATCTTCTGTTCTCGGCTCCAGTTGTGAGGTTGAGATCTACGCCACAGCCATGGCTGCACAGGAGTTACGCTGGCTCACCTACCTGCTGACCGACTTGGGAGAGAGGCCTCGTTCTCCTCCGGTTCTGTACGTCGACAACAAGGTAGCCATTGCCTTGTGTGAGGAGCACAGACTAGAGCACAGAACGAAGCACATCGCTCTGCGTTACTTCCTGGCTCGAGAGTTGCAGCAGCGGGGTCAGCTTCGTCTTGCTCACATGGCCACTCGGGCCAACACTGCTGATATATTCACCAAGGCACTTCCGTTTGGTGATCATCAGCGCTTTTGTACTTTGTTGGGCCTTGTGCCTACGTTTCCACACTTGCTGTAGACTCTGCTTGTACTGTGATCTATATATATATACTTGCATGCTTACTCTTGCTAGGCAGAGATCACTGTACTGTTCTTGTTGCATGTATACCTCTGCATGTGAACTGGCCTTATGGCCTTTTGCTTGTGCTCAGTGTGTATGGTGACGTTGTGATCCACCCTGAGCTTGCTTTGTTGAAACTAGTAGCAGGAATGGTAGTTAGGTTTATGTGAGGGCCTAGGCTTAGTAGCCTCGGCCAAGGGGAGTCGAGAGAGTTTGTGCCAAGGAGGGAGAGAGGAGAATGAGTGTTCACTATAGCACTAGGGTACATATAGCAAACAGAGCATGCAAAGAAGGTGCACCACCAACAGTTTATAATAACTACACTAAACTACAGCTACAGGCAGTTACAGATATATTCTAACATGCTTTGCTTTTCTTGACTGGTCTTGTGACCTCTTGCTCTCCCCCACTTTGCCTATGGGGGTGTGTCAAACATATGCATTATATTTGTTGGTAGGCTGTAGTGGGGTAGATACTGTGGGGTATAACCCCTTAGGGTTTTCTCCTTGTACCAAAAATTCTCGCGATAGTCAAGACTCATTCATGCCTAGCTTCTAAGATCCAGCGCATGAACGGGGTCCCTCACATGGGTGCAAGCGGGGGGTTAACGGGATGAAATTTTCGGGAACCTTCGTCCCGATACCCTCGCATTCAGGGTCCACAAAACGCGTACTCTACATAGACAGAGTCAGTAAGAACACTACTCTGAGACTAGTTACAATATTTCAGGGTTCGGTGAAGCACTATTCTGAATGGATCAGTGTTCACAAGTTAAAAATTCTGAAATTGCAGGGACCACCAGGTGAGAAGCCTGTAATCACCCTGAAATCAGGGTAATTACCCTAATAAAATCAGCCCTGCTTTCACACCACAAGATTCGCCCTGACACAACCCTGTCAGAGCATGTTCTCCCGGAAATCCCCTTAGTCTAGCATGTTTCGGTATCAGATGAAACATTGAATACATTTCGGATGAAACATTGAATACCGTACATTGGTTTTGAATGTTCAAACTTTTTTTTAAAGTCACTCTGAAATTTAAGTCTTTTTTAATACCAACTCTGAGGGGTTTCAGACTAAACAGTGTACTAGTCTGACTAATCAGACAGGCCAAAAACGAATCTGAGGGTCTGCTCGGTAGGGTCGTTTTGTAATTTCTGATTCATAAGACAAGAAATGCTTGAAATTCTGATGCATAAGGAAATTTTAAAATTTCTGATAAATCAGACAGGCCCGAAGGGCCCCTCTGATGCATCAGGGGGGTTCAGGGACTAGCGAGGGCCCTGATGTGCTTGTTGACAGGATTACGCTGTATATCAGTTAATGCACACATTTTCTTGGCAACAAGTGCCCAGCTACCGGTACTTGGCCAATGAGCGATTGATTGTGAAAGGCTGTCTTGGTGAAGAGAACCCAGACTCATCTGACCAGTTATTTACAACAGCCCCAATACCCAATGCGTGGCTTCCCCTCCAGGCCGTACACTGCCGCGCCCAAAAAATCAGGGTAAAATACCGCGTACAGTATTTCAACTGTAAATGCGTGGTTTCAACTGTATATCGGTTAATGCACACATTTTCTTGGCAACAAGTGCCCAGCTACCGGTACTTGGCCAATGAGCGATTGATTGTGAAAGGCTGTCTTGGTGAAGAGAACCCAGACTCATCTGACCAGTTATTTGCAACAGCCCCAATACCCAATGCGTGGCTTCCCCTCCAGGCCGTACACTGCCGCGCCCAAAAAATCAGGGTAAAATACAGCGTACAGTATTTCAGGAGCCCCAATGCTCACAGCATGCAAGCCTTGACTGCATCAGGCTGTGTGCTGTGCATGCTCATGCGGTATGTGGTTGGGTAGGGGTTGCCATTCAAAATAAGATAGCCGAATCAAAAGACTGGTGTGATCAATGCTCTACTTCCAGGTGTGCTCCTTGTTGAGGGATTTGCGGTGTCGCTTGAGTGAGTAGGTGATGAGGGGCTCCTGCTCCACCGCACCACCTGCATGCACCTCACTGGACGAGCCATCGTGTGGCACAGCGGGGACGCCTCCTCCACCTCCACCCGCAGCGCCTACAACTCCCAATGCCCAAAGGGCTGTCTCGCTGTCTTGCGCTGCTGCATGCATCCCTGCCTCTCCACCTGCATGCATCCCTGCCTCTCCACCTGCATGCATCCCTGCCTCTCCACCTGCATGCATCCCTGCCTCTCCACCTGCATGCATCCCTGCCTCTCCACCTGCATGCATCCCTGCCTCTCCACCTGCATGCATCCCTGCCTCTCCACCTGCATGCATCCCTGCCTCTCCACCTGCATGCATCCCTGCCTCTCCACCTGCATGCGCCTCCCCCACTCGCTCCACCACTGCAGCAGCAGCACTGCTGCCGTCATGCCTTGCAGGCTGTGCACTGCTGAGCACCGCCTGCCCTGCCCGCCCCGCATGCCCCGCATGCCCCCCAGCAGCCATCTGCCGCCGGTGCCACTCCTCCCACTCGTCCACCTCCCCCCTCCTCGTGCCCGCCCTCCCCTCCACCACCTCATCGCCACCGCGCCCTGCCTCCCCCGGCACCCACCCCTCCCGCACTCCCATTCCATCCCCCGCCCTCCCCTCCCCACCATCCCGTGCGCTCATCGCGTGCGCCCCACGGCACCCCTCAGGCCGCACCAGCCCGCGGGCAGCAAGGATGGGAGTGCGCCGCAGGATGTCGTCCATCGCCACCCCGCGCGCCTTCCTGCGACTGCGCTCGCGCTTGCCCTGCGCCCGCCACCTCACCGCGCCCCCACCTTCCTCTCCCTCCCCTCCCTCCCCACCGTCCCCTCCCTCCCTCCCGTGTCCGCCCTCCCCAGCGCCCCCCTGGGTGCAGCCAGCACTGCCTGTGCGCGGCAGCGGCAGCGGGGCAGGCAGCGCCCCCTGGGGCACGCGTGGCGGGGATGCCATGCGCACCCACCTGCTCTGCACTGCCGCATCCGCGCATACATGCACATCGCCTTGCCTCTGCTGCTGCTGCTGCTGCTGCTGCTGCTGCTGAGGGCGCTGGGCGTGAGAGTGGGAGTGCATCTCGAGCCAACCAGTGTGACTCTCGCCTGGGCCCCCACGGTGCTCGCCTGGGCCCCCACGGTGCTCGCCTGGGCCCCCACGGTGCTCGCCCCAATCACTGTGGTCGTGCGCGGGGCACTCACTCTGCCTCTCAGCACTGTGGTGCGGCTCAGTAGCGCATGGATGCAGCGCAAGCACATGAAACGACTGAACCTCCTCATCCATCCCACTCTTGCTTCCCATAGCCCCACTGTGTTGTTGCGCTTTCTCTGCCGTTCCCCTTCGCTCCACCATCACCTCTTCCTGCATCCTGTCGCCCCTCTCCCCCCTCTCCTCTCTTTCCCCTTCTTTCCCCCTTTCCCCCCTCTCCTCCCGCTGTCCCCTTCCCCCTCTCTGCTCCCTGTCTTCCCTCGCCCCCCACTGCCCTCTCTGCATGGGCACAGCACCCCACGCCTGCCTTTCCCCACCCACGCCCACGTTGCCACGCGTAGGGGGCAGGCAGGAGGCAGGTGGGTGGAAGGGGGGGGCGGAGAGGGGAGGGGGAGAGAGGGGGGGGACGGGGGGCAGGGGGGCGAGCGCCCAGGGTGAGGGGGAGGGGTCAAGGTCGCCGTGGGAGGCGTCCAGGTCGACCAGGTCCCACACGCCGCGCGCCCCCCTGCCCACCGCCTTCGCCTCTCTCTCGCCCCTCTCGCCCCTCCCTGCACCCGCACTGCCTCTCACCTCGCCGCGTGGGCTCGCCTCAGCTCGTCCCTCCTGCGCCACGGGCAGCACAGGTGGCCCCGCGCTCACCTCCATGTGTGGCAGCACAGGTGGCCCCGCGCTCACCTCCACGCGCACGGCGCCACACATGTGTGGCAGCGCAGCAGCGGGGCAAGGCGGACCACCATGCGTGCGTGCCATGCCCACTGCGCCCCCACTACCAGCATGGCGGTGGCTGTGGGCAGCAGGCAGCGTGGGTGGAGGCGAGGGCGATGTGCGTGCACGCGTGCTACTCACCACCGCGTCAACTGCGTGTGCACAGGCGCTGGGAGGCGGGGCAGGGGTGGTGGCAGCGTGTGGTGGTGCAGGGGGCACGGGCACCATGGGCAGGGACGGACGCAGAGAGGTGGGCTCATCCAGTGGCGTGGCGGAGATGGCTGCACACACATGTGCCGCCCGCACCTCCCCCGGTCCCCTTCCCCCACCTGCCACCTCGCCTGCTGCCACTGCTGACGGTGTGGGAGGTGGTGGTGGTGGTGGCGGCGGCAGACGAGTGCGGGGCAGCGGCTTGGTGAAGATGAAGACAGCAAAGAGACCTGCCCACGCACCGGCAGTGCGGCATGAGCGGCGCAGGCAGTGGGGCATGAGGGGCGCAGGCAGTGGGGCATGAGGGGCGCAGGCAGTGGGGCATGAGGGGCGCAGGCAGTGGGGCATGAGGGGCGCACGAGGAGGAAAACGCGAATGGTTGCTAAGCAAGTGCAAGGGAGGGCAGGGCTAAGGGCATTGAGCAGGGAGCACACGAATGTGGTGCACACTGGCACGAATGTGGTGCACAGTGGCACGAATGTGGTGCACAGTGGCACGAATGTGGTGCACACTGGCACGAATGTGGTGCACAGTGGCACGAATGTGGTGCACACTGGCACGAATGTGGTGCACAGTGGCACGAATGTGGTGCACACTGGCACGAATGTGGTGCACACTGGCACGAATGTGGTGCACAGTGGCACGAATGTGGTGCACACTGGCACGAATGTGGTGCACAGTGGCACGAATGTGGTGCACACTGGCACGAATGTGGTGCACACTGGCACGAATGTGGTGCACAGTGGCACGAATGTGGTGCACACTGGCACGAATGTGGTGCACAGTGGCACGAATGTGGTGCACACTAGCACGAATGTGGTGCACACTGGCACGAATGTGGTGCACAGTGGCACGAATGTGGTGCACAGTGGCACTAATGTGGTGCACACTGGCACGAATGTGGTGCACACTGGCACGAATGTGGTGCACACTGGCACGAATGTGGTGCACACTGGCACGAATGTGGTGCACAGTGGCACGAATGTGGTGCACACTGGCACGAATGTGGTGCACACTGGCACGAATGTGGTGCACACTGGCACGAATGTGGTGCACACTGGCACGAATGTGGTGCACAGTGGCACGAATGTGGTGCACACTGGCACGAATGTGGTGCACAGTGGCACGAATGTGGTGCACAGTGGCACGAATGTGGTGCACAGTGGCACGAATGTGGTGCACACTGGCACGAATGTGGTGCACAGTGGCACGAATGTGGTGCACAGTGGCACGAATGTGGTGCACAGTGGCACGAATGTGGTGCACAGTGGCACGAATGTGGTGCACAGTGGCACGAATGTGGTGCACAGTGGCACGAATGTGGTGCACAGTGGAACGAATGTGGTGCACACTGGCACGAATGTGGTGCACAGTGGAACGAATGTGGTGCACACTGGCACGAATGTGGTGCACACTGGCACGAATGTGGTGCACACTGGCACGAATGTGGTGCACACTGGCACGAATGTGGTGCACAGTGGCACGAATGTGGTGCGCACTGGCACGAATGTGGTGCACACTGGCACGAATGTGGTGCACAGTGGCACGAATGTGGTGCACACTGGCACGATTCTCGTGAATGCATGGGTGGGCGCCCGCTTGCCACCGTGTGTCACGGTGGATGGCAGCACAACAGGTCGCCAGCAGCACTCACTCAGCAGGTCGCCAGCAGCACTCACTCAGCAGGTCGCGTGCCGCCGCAGAGAGGCCGACGTGCACCGCAGCGTCCACAGGCCGCCCATCCGCCCCCTCGCCCGCTGCTGCACCCGCAGCAGCAGCAGCAGCAGCAGCATCGCCACGCGGGTCAGGCATGGCGAGTAGCGCAGCGGGGCAGGTGTGCGCCAGCAGGCGCATGCTGGCAGGCGTCCTGCAGAGGGGGGGAGCAGATGGAGGGGCGAGCGGAGGCATGAGGGTTGGCCGTGGGGAGGCGTCAGGGAAGGAAGTGTTTCAATGCCCTTATGAACAACCACTGGCTCTCCACCTCAGAGGTTATTTAACTTGGAGGGTTGACCCAGTTCACGGAGGAAGGTTGACCCAGTTCACGGAGGAAGGTTGACCCAGTTCACGGAGGAAGGTTGACCCAGTTCACGGAGGAAGGTTGACCCAGTTCACGGAGGAAGGTTGACCCAGTTCACGGAGGAAGGTTGACCCAGTTCACGGAGGAAGGTTGACCCAGTTCACGAGGTATGGCGGGTCAACCAACCCATAATCTCAACCGACTCGTCATATGGGTCAGGTATGGTGAAAGGCGAGGCGCACTGGGCCTAGAGGCGAGCACCTGTGTTGCTGACCGTAGGTTGCTAAATCACTCCATCGAGTACCTCTTGAGGTTTCTCGTTCAGTCTGACCCTAACTTCACCATGACTGTTGCTTTCCCATTGCTCCTAAATCTCCGACACCTAGCTGCACTTGCTTTTCGATACGATGCTCCCAAGACACCGCACAGCCTCAAACACACGCTTAAGCTAAACAAAACTAGAAATTAACTCTTCAAATAATACACATTAGTGATTGGCCTGTCGAGACGAACTGAACCAGAGGTTCGAGAACTAAGGGTCGAATATAGAACCTCGGCCACCACGTTTTGGTTCGACCAAACCCGAGCAGGTTTGATACTGCGAGATTATCCGTTTGACCATTTTTGGCCTGAACAAGTTCGAGTTGGATACTTTCTCAAGTGTACTCATGTGTGATTGACACAGTTGGCATGGTGCCCACCTGGTGTCGTTGAAAAGGGTCTCGAGGTTGACAATGTCGATCAGCTGCAACCCCTCCGCCTCCGCCAACCTGCCGTGCCGTGAGAGGGAGAGACGATTGGGGCATGTGAGAAGACATGGGCATGAGGAAACAGAGGGGGGAAACACAGAGCAAAAAGGGGCATGGGACTCCCTCGAGCCCATCAGCTGCACTGCACACCAGCCCCGAATGCCGGAGACCAACTCATCACAGGTTGGCACAGGGTGCGGAGAGTCACTCTACACCAGTGGGAGCTAAATCACGGGGAAGGCACGGGTGGTACGAGTGATCGCAGAGTTCGCTTGTAGTTTCTCTACTTGCACATTCATAGAGCAAATTAGCAAGAGTTTCACAAAGAACGTTGTAGAATAATGATACAATGGTAATGGCAAAGGTATACATGGGCAAACGAGTCGAGTTTTTCCTCGACTCGTTCGAGGGACTCGAAAAGCTCGAGTTTCGAGTTTTTTTTTTTGTAAAAAAAACTCGGTTGCTCGAGTCGAGTTTTGCTCGCGAGTTAAAAAAACTCGTGAAAAACTCGGCTACCAAGCAAGTTTTTTCAAAACTCGCAAGTTTTTGGGGCTCGTGAGCATTTTGCCACCAGATCCGCCCGCGCCTAGCATTCCGCCGCTAGATCCGCCCGCACCTAGCATTCCGCCGCCAGATCCGGCCGCCCCTAGCATTCCGCCGCCAGATCCGGCCGCACCTAGCATTCCGCCGCCAGATCCGCCCGCACATAGCATTTCGCCGCTAGATCCGCCCGCACCTAGCACTCCGCCGCCAGATCTGAACGCACATAGCATTCCGCCGCTAGATCCGCCCGCACCTAGCAAGCATTCTGCCGCCAGATCCGCCCGCACATAGCATTCCGCCGCTAGATCCGCCCGCACCTAGCATTCCGCCGCCATATCTGCCCGCACCTAGCATTCCGCCGCTAGATCCGCGCGGCATTTCCTTTCACTAAACTGGTTTCGTGGGGTGGTGGGTAAGGGGGGTGTTTAACAACGAGTCGAGTTTTACTTGACTCGGACGAGTTTTCTTTGAACTCGTCCGAGTGTTGAAAAAACTCGGTAAAATGGTCGAGTTTCGAGTTTGCTTTGTGGCACAAAAAACTTGGCGAGTTTTCCTCGACTCGACTCGTGTGTGACAAAAAACTCGTCAAAACGAGTCAAGTAAAACTCGACTCGTCTTTTGCCCATGTATAGGCAAAGGTTGACTACATCACAGGCCTAGCAGCCTAGCAAGCAGGCAGGTCAACCTCCAGCGCAGCACGAGGGCTGCTTGCCAACACCGCAGGTTGGCGGCCTGCCAACGTAGCAAGAAGAGGACTTGCCACCGCTGCAGAAAGACGTCCTGCCAGCTTTGCACCAGAACGGCGGCCTGCCAGCTTTGCACCAGCAAGGCGGCTTGCCACCATTGCAACTACATGTGTTTGTGAATGCGCAGGTGCACACTTGCCGAGTAGGTGCAGGAAGACGGTTGTACCATCAAACACATTGTACAGGTGCCCAGATCGATCACATGTCGACGGTTGCATCGACCTCGTCAACCTCGTGCTACACTACCGAGACACAGATCGACTACGTCAAAAACACCAGGACGACGTTCGCGCAACCCCGCAGAACTTTGTCGACCAGCTTACTCGGTCAGAAGATACCGCTAAGCCAACGTCGACTTCGGTGCTTGTCGGTCGACCTCATGTCGATGACCACCTTCGTCGACCGCCGAGGCTTGACGCCATCCGCTGACTTCTCTTCGTTCACCAGCGTCTACCCGACTTTGCTAAAGTCGGCTTTGTCAAAGTCGGCTCCGCCATAACCAGCTTCACTCTAGTCGGCAGCTTCTCCGACATCGACTCCGCCAAAGTCGGCTGAGCCCGAAGTCGACCTCGCCACGCCGACTTCGCCAGGTCGGCTTTACCAAAGTCGGCTTACCGTCCAAGTCGGCCAACCAAGCCGACTTGCTCCTCCAAATCGACGTCGACCACGAAGCGTAGCCGGCTGCACACCTTGCATGCCAGACAACGAAGTCGGCTTCGCCCAAGCGAGGGCGGGGCCTTTTCTCGTCAATAATGGGAAGGGGCGAGATACAGCAAGCGTGAGTAGGAACGAGGAGCCAAGCTAGGAAAAAGGAGGAAGTGCACCTAATGAGAGTGGGGAAGTGGACGAGGAGCGACTTGATGGGCAGGCTGTTGGCATCGGCACACTTGAGGGAGAAGCGCAAATCAAACACCGCCCTGGTGGACCGGCAGGCAGGGGGCAGCACAGAGGGGCAGGAACATGTAATGGAAGAGGAGGGACGGATTAGCGGATGGAAATAATGGTGAGATGACTGTGAGGCGGGGAATGGAAGGACAAGTCGGGAGAAAACATGTAGGAAGGTAGAAGCCAAGTATGAAGGAAATAGTCACAACGAGAAAGGGGAATAAGAAGTCACTGCCTTCTCACTTGCTGTCATCAAACGGCACTGCCTTCTCACTTGCTGTCATCAAACGGCACTGCCTTCTCACTTGCTGTCATCAAACGGCACTGCCTTCTCACTTGCTGTCATCAAACGGCACTGCCTTCTCACTTGCTGTCATCAAACGGCACTGCCTTCTCACTTGCTGTCATCAAACGGCACTGCCTTCTCACTTGCTGTCATCAAACGGCACTGGCTTCTCGAACACGATAGCGTAGAGCGACGAGCGAATCACCGCCCGCGTGGGCGCCATGCCGCCCGGCCCGGCAGCAGCCTTGGCGGCATCAATGGCCCGCTGCTGCTTGTACCTGGCGGGGCGGACAAGTGGGGATGTGGCGGGGAATGGATGAGTAGAAGCAAACGATCTGTGCTCCCTACACCACGCGGTGTTGCTTCCTACATCACACAGTGTTGCTCCCTACACCACGCGGTGTTGCTTCCTACATCACACAGTGTTGCTCCCTACACCACACGGTGTTGCTTCCTACACCACACGGTGGTGCTTTCTACACCACACAGTCTTGCTTTCTACACCACACGGTGGTGCTTTCTACACCACACGGTGGTGCTTTTTACACCACACGGTGTTGTTCCCTACTGCTTCCTACTCCACACGGTGTTGCTCCCCACACCAGACCGTGTTGCACCCCACATCCCTGGTCAGCGTGACAAGTGCGCAGCAGCAGAAAGAGGGAAGCAGCCCTGGGTGCTGCGGCGGCCCTGGGCAAGGAGCCTGTTGAAATTAAGTTTTTCTCCGCGCACCATTGACCACCAGCATTCAAAACTTGCCACTTAGGTTTGACAACGCGGTTCTCGGGTGTAAACACATGCTCTGGCCGGCCGAGCCTGCCCTCAGCCGTGGTCAGACCAGGTGGAGCCACCGTTGGCCCATCACATTGGCCCGTCACATTGGCCCGTCACATTGGCCCGTCACATTGGCCCGTCACATTGGCCCGTCACATTGGCCCGTCACATCGGCCCGTCACATCGGCCCGTCACATCGGCCCGTCACATCGGCCCGTCACATTGGCCCGTCACATTGGCCCGTCACATTGGCCCGTCACCTTGGCCCGTCACCTTGGCCCGTCACATTGGTGGCCCGTCACATTGGCCCGTCACATTGGCCCGTCACATTGGCCCGTCACATTGGCCCGTCACATTGGCCCGTCACATTGGCCCGTCAACATTGGCCCGTCAACATTGGCCCGTCACATTGGCCCGTCACATTGGCCCGTCACATTGGCCCGTCACATTGGCCCGTCACATTGGCCCGTCACATTGGCCCGTCACATTGGCCCGTCACATTGGCCCGTCGCATTGGCCCGTCGCATTGGCCCGTCGCATTGGCCCGTCGCATTGGCCCGTCACATTGGCCCGTCACATTGGCCCGTCACATTGGCCCGTCACATTGGCCCGTCACATTGGCCCGTCACATTGGCCCGTCACATTGGCCCGTCACATTGGCCCGTCACATTGGCCCGTCAACATTGGTCCGTCAACATTGGCCCGTCAAATTGGCCCGTCAAATTGGCCCGTCAAATTGGCCCGTCACATTGGCCCGTCACATTGGCCCGTCACATTGGTCCGTCACATTGGCCCGTCACATTGGCCCGTCACATTGGTCCGTCACATTTGCCCGGCACATTGGTCCGTCACATTGGCCCGTCACATTGGCCCGTCACATTGGCCCGTCACATTGGCCCGTCACATTGGCCCGTCACATTGGCCCGTCACATTGGCCCGTCACATTGGCCCGTCACATTGGCCCGTCACATTGGCCCGTCACATTGGTCCGTCACATTGGCCCGTCACATTGGCCCGTCACATTGGCCCGTCACATTGGCCCGTCACATTGGCCCG